GGAATTTCAGGTAGGGTCGCATGTGATTGTTAGTTTGGCTGATCATTGTGTGTTATGTGTGTTTTCGTCTGGCGGTACGTGAGTGCCTACGTGGGGTTTGGGGTTGTACACTTATTGAGATTCGTCTCACGGTTGTATAACCGCCACTTTCAGACCCCCAGCTTTAGACCCAGGAGGCCCGCCTCCTCTTTTTGGAGTTTTGAGGAGTCGCCCAGGGAGCCCAGTGGAGTTGCAGGCGATGCCTAAGAGGTCTTCCGGAGGATCAAACCAAGCGAAGTGGGAATATGAAGGAAGGAGGCGACCCTTAGGTTTTTCCCTAGGCCATTTTAGGGGTTGTTTGACTTGGGTTATCCGATAGTGAAGTTAAGATAACCAAACCCCTGAACTTTTGTTAAAACGGTGGTGGAGGATGTTCGTCTGTATTTATGTTTGTATATTCGGTGCTGTATGAATATGTTGTTTGATTGTTATGGTGGTTTACCCCGTCATCGTCATCTTTCTGTCCGGGGTTTTGTTATTCGCTTCCGCATGTGGCTCTAATGTTTGGGTTGGGTCGGCGACGTTCCTGGGACGTCGCATCATTTCGACCGTAACAGGGGATGTCGCGAGCTCGATGGGGGTTCGGGGCGTGACACAATTATTTCTGGAGGCTGAGATTCTTGTGAGATGGTGCTGAAAGCGACTTTTGGAGCATAGTGGATATATATGGTTTCATCCACATCACATACTTTTCTTCGCTAACAAATGAATATGAGCAAGCATATCGAGGGAAGATTACCTACTTGGTAGAGTGATTGATTTCTTGTTAGGGAAATATGCTCCTCCGAATTTGTAGAAGAAAAGAAACTTCAACTTCAAATGAAATAAACAATGAAGTCAAACTTTGAGGCGTGACATCACTTTCTTTAATGAATTATTTGCCCCACAACATTGCTAATGGCTACCGGTAAAAATTCTTCAGGATACAACAAAGTCTCAATGAGAATACCAAATAGCAATTCTGGTATTTTCCCAGGGTCTCTCAAAGAAAACAATTAAAAAAGATGGCTGTATATTTCTTAGAAGAAATGAAAAATTGTTGTTCTTAATGAACAAAAATGTTGAAATATTTATTCGTTGAACAAACACAACCTTTTGAATGTGAAGAAGTTATGAACGAATAGACACGACTTTCAAAAGTTAAGAAGTTATGTCTGAATAGACACAACCTTAGAAAGATTGTAAAAGCGCCAAATAACTGTTAGGAAAAAAATAATAAATTCGAAATTAAATTATTAAAAAATAAACGCCGCTCTATTGTGAACAATCACACTGTTTCGATATGACAAAACAGTTATTTTTATGAAATTTAATAAATAAATAAAAATGATCGTTGGTTAGTGCCAAATCTCGTCCACGTGCGCACTCACATCCTTTTGATGTGGGACAAGGCATCTCATTGTTTGTTTTACAAACAAACTACCAACATTTCTCACTGTGATTCTTAATAGTCGCGTTTCCTTAGTCAAGCGATTGACCAGTTTGTGATCCATAATTTTTCCGATACACACCAGAGAATAGCTAGAAGAACTTGGGAGTTATTTGTTATTGACATGGCAAAACACATGATCCTGTTTGAAAATGCTATTCGATTTAAGTACGAGAGTAACACATAAGGCCATTAATCAAATGGTACTTTCTCGGATATTAGGACTTATAATACTGTTGATTTAATTGATCCATTTTCTAAAATTTCCTAGAATATTAAATTACAATCTAGAATCCGCTAGATGAAGTGTTGGGTAGTTAGATATTGTGGCTAGAAAATGTCCAGCATTTAAGGAGCAAAAAAATCTCTGAACAAGTAAGAGATAATTTGGTTGAAGGCAGTGGATGATGTCACTAGAGTCGGTTGTAAATGCCTATAAAAAGGCTTGTGCTCCACCAGTACTAACATCTCCTCCTACAGCTATGTAACACCGTTCTGTCAATCTAATGAAACAATATTTTCTCTGTCCCATTGCCTATAAGCCTATATCCCTTGAACCATCCTACCTTGGCGGCTTGGCCCTTGTCCATCCTCTACATACTATTAACATATACATTTGCACATCACTAACCAAAAACTATCATCAATATCAAAATTATGCTTCTGCCCAATCTAAATTACAACAATAACTCCTTTTCATTAGCACCTGACACAGGCTACTGAGAATATTACATAGTTAACACCCTGCTCTAGAGTTATTATGTAAGAAACAAGTATTATTATGTAGTAGAGTTATTTATGGCTCATTGGCAACTAAGTCCGTGCAAATTAAGAGCTCTCAACTTTTCGAAAAGGCTTAGAAGAACTAATGAGAACCTTGTGCGAGAATTCTTTTTCTATATCCATACTTTAGTGTTCAAAAACTGTCATCTCGAAGTTGGAACTATTTGTTCAGTCTCTCCTCTACTGGCACTTGTTTTACTACCCAGAGGGGGCCAAACTCGTACTTTCTTACGAAAAGGTGATCTTAGTAAGTTATGGAGTAAGATGTGAAAAATGCAATTGCACCTTTGAAGTTTCAACTTTTCCCTGGTTATAGTCGTGTTTTACTTATTTGAACAACTATAGATGCTGGAACTCTTACTGTCACGCACCTGACATTTCCATGGTTACGATGGAGCACTATCTTCAGGTCTCCACACTACCAACAAGACAACAAATGCTGTAAAGTGATTGCTATGTACATTTTCACGGTACTGAAGTAGCAAGTCCCCTATTTCTAGCAAAAAAAAAAGTCCCCTATTTCTTTTTTCTACACTTTCAAAGAGCAATATCAATATGTAGGAAAGAAAACTTGGTTGCAACTGGTGGATGCAGTATCAGAACTGCTAAATCTTCCATTTTCTAGGACTTAATTGTCATGACGTTCTGGTTTACGCAAATGAAGGAGGGACACACTGCTTATAATTGCAATTTAAGACAATCCCATGTAAATGTCACTTTCTCTGCCTTGTGATTTGCAATGCTTTGATAAAGTAATTATTTATGGAGACACATAGTTCCATGAGGGAATATTATTACCACTGCAGTGACATAAATAACTAGGGTAAGCTCCCAGAAGGAACAAGGGGACGATCCTTAGTTTGCAGTGTGGATTAACAGCGAAAGGGCAACGGCATAAAAATAACAGATGAAACAGGTATTTAACCGATTCACTTCCAATATGCAACCAAATGAACTTGTCTAGTCTGAAATTACAAAGCTTGTGGGAGAAGAAAACAAATTACAGTCAAAGGATCAAATTCAATATGCTTCGACATTGTTATTGCCAATAACAACGTTTCTGTTAGGATCTATGACATTTTTGGACGTTTTCCTTATGTCAATTACAAGAGTATCTCTTTATTTCCCTAGTTGCTGTCAACTGAGCAATGAGTATCTTTCTATTTGCACAGGATTTCTTCGAAGAAAACGAACTCCATCTCCGTCGTCGTAAATTTCCTAACAAAACAAAAGCAATAATAAAAGAACTCCATCGTATTCCACACCATTTGGAAAATTGTCCACATTAGTTGGGGTTGGGGATTTTATTGCTGAAGTACCTTTACTTTACTGATGTTAAAAAAGTTCATGACCCTTCATTTCTTAGTTTGTCACAAATGACAGCTCCTCGCCTGCCTTGGGATTCTTTCCCCTTGGGGAACATGTCCTTCTGTCGAGTCAAGGATCCATATCACAGAATGGAAAGTTAAGCAATTGGGTAGTTGTATATGAACAGTTCCTGAAATTCCTTTACCTTGTTTTGGTTAGTTTGTGTCAAGATTTCCAATAGCAACGACTTGTTTAACTAAGGCCGCTAGTAACAGAAAGGAGCAAGAATTGTATTTAGTGTATGGAGTACACTTGACAGGTTGTGCCGAAGAAGAGAATCAATAGTTAACCCCATAATGCATTTTGGGATATGCTAAGACATAGTCCACACCAGAATACACAATTGACATATCACAAATGTCAAGTCTAAATCAACGTTAGGCACAAGTCTTATTAAGTAATAGAGTTATTTATAGCTCATTGGCGACGAAGACCTTGCAAACTAGGAGCTCTCAACTATTCTAAAAGGCTTAGAGAACTAATGGGAACCCTGTGCGATAATTCCATTTCTATGTTCATACTTTATTGTTCCAAAACTGCGTCATCTCAAGGTTTAAACTATTTGTTCAGTCTCTCGTCTACAAGCACAAGTTTTACTGTCAAGAGGGGCCAAATTCCGATTCATAATTTCGTATCAACTTTCTTAGTACATGGGTCATATTTGTATCGACTTTCTTAGTAAGATGTGAGAATATGCAATTGCACATCTGAAGCATCAACGTTTCCGGCAATGAATTAGTAGAACTCACTTTGATTAGAGTGCTGCAGATTTCAGTCAATCGCAATCATTATCTTACTCATATGAAGAACTATACATGCAGGAATTCTTAATTTTCTCGCCCCTAACAATCACTCGGTTAAATAGAACACTATCTTCAGGTCTCCCCACTACCAACAAGACAACAAATTCTGCAAAGGGATTACCAAATCCACCATGTTCGGATTACGAACCAATGAATATGCATATACATTTTTGCGGTACTGAAGTAGCACGTTCCTTTTCAGTTTGTCTCTTCTTACAGAACAATATCAATACGTGTAATCAAAAACTTAGTGGCAACTGGTTCATGCTGTATTAGAACCGCTAAATCTTTTACTTATTGTCATGACATTGTCAAATACGTAAAATGAATGCCAATCTGTGATAAAGATACACGAGATGTGCAGATCTGGTTCTGATTTACTAACCAATTAAAGTCAGCCCGATAAAGTTGAACCATGGACACATCACTTCATTATGTTGTCATGCATAAAGTGTCCATTTATAGATTTACAAGATGCTCTACTATCTGCTACCTGTACAAACTACACTTCTTCCAATTTTTATTCTGTACAAACCCCATATTTTCTACCAAGTATATACAAATCACTTGTGTTTCCTTCAATGACCAAGAACTTGCTGATCCACACATTTGGTATGAACAGCTGTGGCCAATGAGCATGGAGTGAATGCAATAGAGTTAAGCAATGCATTTTCTATTTCTTTGGCTATGCATCTTCGCACAAGCGATACTATGTACTCCATGGAAGCTGCATCACGGGGCACAGTTAGAGGACCGTTCCCCGATAAACCAAACTCTTCTTCAGACATCTTGAAGAGCTCTTGGAAGATGTTGCTACGGAGACACTGCAAAGGAATAGTGAAACGCCCTCCATCGGTCGTGTAGATGACAAAATGCCCCTTCTCTGTTGCCAATGATGAATTCACCTCCGCATTTACCCCCAGTTGCGAAATTTTTTTCCAGCCTGAAGCGGCTGGTTTTTCCCACTTCCTCGCCATCTTCATTAGCTTCTTGGGGCTCATCATGCTTATGCTTATCAATTAGAATTAGAGTATAATGCTTCAAACAAAAGGGCTATTTCTGGGTTGTAGGCTATGAGTGCTGCAGAGCTGAATGCAAATGAGGGAGGGACACACTGCTTATAAATGCAAAAGCTTAGAGACAATCCCATGTAATTGTCACTTTCTCTGTCTTGCGATTTGGCAATGCTTTAATAATGTAATTATTTATGGAGACATATAGTTCCATGAGGAATAATCTTTAGCACTGCGGTGACATAAATAACTAAGGTAAGCTCCCAAAAGGAAGAAGGGGACGATCCGTAGTTTGTAGTGTGGGATAACAGCAAAAGGGCACCTGCATAAAAATAACAGATGAAACAGGTATTTAACCGATTCACTTCCAATATGCAACCAAACGAACTTGTCTGGTCTGAAATCCCTAAGCTCGTGGGAGAAGAAAGCAAATTAAAGTCAAAGGGTCAAATCCAATATGCTTCAACATTGTTATTGCCAATAACAAAGTTTCTGCTAGGATCTAAGACTTTTTTGGATGTTTTCCTGATGTCGATTACAAGAGTATCTCTTTGTTTCCCTAGCTGTTGTGACCGAGCAATGAGTATCTTTCTATTTGCACAGGATTGCGTCGGATGCAACCAACTCCATCTCCATCCTTGTATCCTTCCCGACAAAACAAAAACAAGAAAAAAAGAACTCCATCATATTCCACACCATTTGAAAAATTGTCCACATCAGTTAGGGTTGGGGATTTCATTGCTAAAGCACCTTTACCTTACTGATGTTATAAAAGTTCATGATTTTTATTTCTTAGTTCGTCTCAAATGACAGCTCCTCGCCTGCCTTGATTCTTTCCCCTAGGAGAACACATCCTTCTGTCGAGTCAAGGATCCATATCACAGAATGGGAAGTTAAGTAACTGGGTAGTTGTCTATGAACGGTTCTTGAAATTCCTTTACCTTGTTTTGGTTAGTTTGAGTTGATGTTTCCATTAACAGAAAGGAGCGAGAATAGTTTACTTAGTGTCCGGAGTACAATTGACAGGTCGTGCCAAAGCAGAGAATTGATATTTCACCCCATATTGCATTTTCGGATATGCTAAGACATAGTCCACGCTAGAATACTCAATTGACATATCACATATTTCGAATCTAAATCAACGTTAGACACAAGTCTTATTAAGTAGTAGAGTTATGTACAGCTCATTGGCGACAAAGACCTTGCAAACTAGGTGCTCTCAACTATTCTGAAATGCTTAGAAGAACTAATGGGAACCCTGTGCGAAAATTCCATTCTATGTCCATACTTTATTGTTTCAAAACTGCGTCATCTCAAGATTTGAACTATTTGTTCTGTCTCTTGTCTACAAGCACAAGTTTTACTGTCAAGAGGGGCCAAATTCCAATTTATAATTTCTTATAAACTTTCTTAGTATTATCGGGGTGATATTCGGATAATATTTCATAGTAAGATGTGAGAAAATGCAATTGCACATCTGAAGCATCAACTTTTCCAGCAATGAATTAGTAGAACTCACTTTGATTAGAGTACTGAAGATTTCAATCAATCGCAATCATTATGTTACTCATATGAAGAACTATACATGAAGGAATTCTTACTGTTCTTGCCCCTGACAATCCCTTGGTTGAATACACACTATCTTCAGGTCTCCCCACTACCGACAAGACAACAAATGCTGCAAATTGATTACCAAATCCACCAGGTTGTGAATACCAACCAATTAATATGCAAATACATTGTCGCGGTACTGAAGTAGCACGTTCCTTTTTGGTTTGTCTATTCTTACACATAACAATATCAATACGTGTAATCAAAAACTTAGTGGCAACTGGTTCATGCAGTATTGGAACCGCTATATCTTTTCCTTATTGCCAGGACATTGTCGAATGCGTAATATGAATGCCAATCAGCGATAAAGATACACGAGATGCGTAGATCTGGTTCTGATTTACTAACCGATTAAAGTCAGCCCGATAAAGTTGAACCATGGACACATCACTTCATTATGTCGTCATATATAGAGTGCCCATGTACAGATTTACAAGACACTCTTAACAATATCCCTACTAACAAAATGAAAGGAAGAATAAAAGAACTCCATCATATTGGGTAAATGACATAGATGGTCTATGAATTTATGCCCAATGTGCAATGTGGTTCCCTGAATTTTAAATTTGTTTAATGTGGTCTCGGAACTTTAGCCCAATGTGCAATGTCATCCTTGAACTTTTAATTTGTTCAATGTGATCCCTAGACTTTGGTACATGTTCAATGTAGTCCCTAGACTGTATGGAATGACAACATTGAACATTTTCATACAGTTTAAGGACTAAATTGAATACGTACCAAAAGTCTATTGAGTACATTGAACAAATTAAAAGTGGAGGGAACGTCAAATTGATATGTAGTGTGTTAACTGTTTTCACCATTTAGGCAATGCAATACTAATCTTAATATGCATTGATACTCCATGGAAAGATAAACATTATCTCATTAGAACGAAGTTATTTGCTCTAAACAGAATCTGGTTAACATTATTATATACTTTAACTGTGTCAACCATCCCCACAACAGGGCTCCTTCGATAACCAAAAAACCCCAAAAGATTGATGGCCCAAAACAAGTTTCTAATGTGTGTCAGACTAAATAAATTGCTAGTCAACTTTTTGTTACCATCAGAGTCGTTCATCATTATGCATTTCCAAAGACTACTAATTCAACTTGCGCATTTGAACACCAATTTGAAAATTCATAAAGATCAATCTTAATCTGCATTATGTAGCTCAATAACAAGAAAACTAAAGCTATTTAGGTAGGAGCTTTGAACTTTTTCAGTAGGCTTAGAATTGATTAACTAGGACGCGATAATAAAAGCTCTTGTTCTGTGTCTAAACACCAAGTCATCTTGATATGTATTCAGACAATTTTCTAGTAGCTGCTATTTTAACGTTCGGGGACAAGACTTAACACCAGGTTCGGGGATAGAACCATCAGGTTCCCAGAGTTCAATGAAAGGAGTCAGGCCAGACAACTTAGCATTACCTAGTCAGTCCGGGTCCAGAGCAGCATTTCGGTTCTACTTATCCTGTGGCCTCTCCTGGGGAAAAGTAAGCTGAGTTTATAGCTCATGTGCATTTCTTTATAGGGAGCACAATATTCTTTTATGAAGGAACTGAACCCAGAGTCTTTGTTGCAAATATATATCACAAAAATTCATTTAATCGGATTACCACGGTGCCCACTGGATGCATATTCATGCAAACAAAAGTTAGCCAACTCATATCTTTTTTTGCTTTCATTGCAGTCGAAGATTTTGACACTGAAACTTGATACATATTAAGATCAGATCCTCAAAGAGAAAAGGGTATCGCATGCTGGCAGTAATAGATTCATGATGTCTTCACATATAAGGACTTACCACACCATAAAATGACGTACACAGATGAATATGACGTGCTGAAAGAGATCCACCATTCTAGTTAGTTCCAATTTACTAAATTTTGTAATGCTGGCTTGAAGTGTGGAAGCATGAAGTACATTTTTTCTTCGTAACGTCATATATCGAGTCTATACATACAAATTTACAAGTGATTCTTGTTCACATGAGGTCTTTCTGTATAAATGTAAACTCGTTGGAATTTTTATGCTATACAAAGCCTGCATTTAAGATATCTACAGAAAGAAACTACAGCAGTCAAATTGGCCTAGCATATACATATAACACATCACAGGTTTTTCCTTTACTGACCACAAACTAGAACTCCTTCCACACATTCGTCCTGCAAAGAGGCAGCTGAGCATCGAAAGAATGCAATAGAGTTGAGCAAAGCTTTTTCTATATCTTTGGCGATGCCTCTTTGGACAAGTGATACTATGTACTCCATAGTAGCTGCATCACCGGGCATGGTTATAGGGCCATCACTGGACAAACCAAACTCTTCTTCGGACATTTTGAAGAGCTCTAGAAAGATGTTGCTGCTGAGACAATGCAAAGGAACCATGAAACGGCTTCCATCAGCCGTATAGATCACGAAGTGACCCTTTTCTGTCACTGATGAGGTAGAATTCGACTCCACTCTAGCTCCAGCAAGGGCAATTCTTTTTCTCCCTGAAGCGGCTGGTATTTCCCACTTCCTTGCCACCTTGAGTAGCTTCTTGGGGCTCATCATGTCTAATCTCTGTGGAAAGTTTTTTAGTTTAAAATAAAATCAATTCCAGGATTCCTAGTCTTAGACTTGTAAAGTGTTGCTTCAGCAGAGTTGATGGGAAACGAAGGAAGCGCTCGCTACTTATATATGCGTAACATTAAGACAATCCTGTTCGAATGTTGCTTAGCCTGCCTTGTGATTTCCAATGCTTTAAATTAGTAATTACTTAATTTAGAAACACATATTTGGATGGAGGAATATTGACAAATAATGATGGCATAGATAACAAGGTTCGATGACCCTTTGTTTGTCTCGCCTGACAACAACAAAAGGCACTCGGCTCAGAATAGTTGATGAAACCGGTATCTAACGGATCCACATCCAATGCTACACCCAAATATTTCTTTAGGCTGAGATTCTTGTTATTCGATGCTGAAGCGACTTTTGGAGCATAGTGGACATCTTCGGTTTCATCCACGTTACATACTTTTCTTTTGCTAACAAATGGAAATGAGAAAGCGTATCGAGATAAGATTACCAACTTGGCAGAGAGAACGATTTATTTCTTGCAGTGATTCTTGATAATCGCATTTTTATTATGAGGTGATCGACCTGTATGTTTTTTATAAATTTTCCAATACACACCTGTGAATAGGTACAAGAACTTGTGGTTATTTCATTCGTTGCCTAGGTTCAACAAAGTCCATTTATTATTTCCATGATAAAACAGATAAAGCTGTTTGAAAATCCTCCTCCTCAGAGCTAGTGTTCGATTTAAGTACGAGACTAACACATAAGACCATTAATCAAATGGTACTTTCGAGAATATTAGGACTTATACTACACTATCATTGGTAGAAAGTAATATTACCGAATGCATTTAACAGTGTTACCCCAGTGGATGTTTATTCTCATGACAAATCCTCTAAAGGTTGAAGTGGAAAATGCTCAAAGTCTTCATTATCTGTAATTATGCAAACTTCAGTTGAGTCGACCCCTCACATTTTCTTCAGTTACCTCTAGAGCTCGCCAATCTATACTGTCTTGACAGATGGACAGTTTCTGAATTCTGAATTCCCCATCTTGCGTCGGTTATTTTGTGTCATAGTTTCCCATGAAAGACCGATTAGTTAATGGACAGGATGGATGGTGCTCATTCCTTCTAATTCATTCTCACCTCCTCTCATATTAAAGAGAACTCGGTAGTAGTCTCTTTCGTTATGTAGTACGTGAAAATTACTTCAAATCCCTAGCCCGATCTATACTGACAGAGTCTTTTGTTCAAGATTGACTTGAATATTAGACCACATCTTGGAATCAGATGAACCATAAATTTTTTATTGTTCAGGTGGTACAGCACTGATTTAGTAGATCTGCTGAGATATAGCTGATATATCATGAGATATCTTCATTCAGTACCCATCTTCTCAAATCATTTTGCATTTGCTTCGCATTTAAAATGAATGATGAAACTGATTTTCTTCCGGTGCACATCCATCTTTCATGCAAATGGCCACTGGTAAAATGTGTAAAAGCAATTTCTTCTCATAAATTTCACAGCAAAATCATTTACAAAATTTGAAGTATTTTGCTTTAGCGACAAACGAGTAATTGCTGATGGCCTGCACAACCTTGATAAAAAGAAGAAGAAGAAGAGCAGCAGCCTAAGGAATTGACGTAAGCAGTGCTCTTTGTGAATCATCAGACAGATCTCTTCGTATGAGTGAGATTGCGTACTCCATAACTGCTGCATCAAATGGCATTCTGATCGGTCCATTGCTTGATAGTCCAATCGGGCTTTGGTTTTTGGTTTAATATAAACGAGAGATATTAATATACTGGGCTTAACTTACATTTCTCTTGTAACGAAAATAAATGCATACTACTTCATCTTCTTTCGATCATTTTCCAAAATCACACATCTCAATTGATGAGCAAGCTATGGATTTGCTACACTACGACATACTTGTTGAGCAATTGTTGTATTTTTTCGCAAAAGGAAATACAACAATAGGATCAAATTTTAAATTGTTAGCAATGAGAGAAAACTCAAATCGTCTTCAAAATAATGGTATAGAGGCTAAAATGCCATGTATAGAAAGGGGAAAAAGAACCAATAGAGAAAAGGAAATAAAATTATGTTCATCCTAATTTCTTTCCATTACCTATTATAAGGTTACTTCATGTTTTATTAGGTGATAAAATAGAGAAAATAGATTTACGACGTTAAATTTTTGTATTAAGCTTTGGCCCGTTTTCATCCATAGATGGTAATGGGACAGGTTGTACCTGAAGTTGAGGCATGCCGTGTGAGTTAGCTGTGTGAGACTCGTGCAAATGGGTGAAAAATGGGTTATTATTAGGTTTTGGGGCAGTAATCTTTTATTTTTTCCGTCGCTCGTCTCATCTCGTCATTTCCCCAACTGCAATAACCGTTTGGGGCCTGAGTTACAAGTGGGTTCAAAATGGGTCAATTACAGACACATTAAAACCCATTTTAAAGTTGGGCCAACTTCACTCTTTTTTGCTTTCGAGAAATATAATAACATTCACGTTAGGATGTTTTCATCACTGTGTTTTTTAATTTTCTTAGTTCTTGCAATTTTGTGTATTCTTTTTTCCCTTTTATCATAATGTAAAATAGAATTTATCTATATAATCACGTTTAGCAATTAACCCTAGATTCAAACTCTTCCCCATAATCTGGTGTATCAAAACTAAGAGCCGAGATCTTCTAAATTAACAGAGTAAGTTTCCCATGTAAAGTATATGAAGCAAGCCACGTATAAAAGCCAGAACTAGGTTTGGCTATATAGAATCGACTCAAGACAGCCAATAGAAAGATCTCAACGGCTTCATCTCCCTTCCAAAGGCAAGATTGCACATCGTACATCAACGCTAACATACAATCGCTATCCCTACAAACAATAGTTGAGAGTCACGATCTCGGAGCCCCAAACAATGGCGATTTTCGGGAAAGCGGGAGAAGAGAACATCTAGAAAACACTAGGAAAGGGCCACAAAGCGCTAAAACTGACCGCCTTTGCAAAAGGAGCATATGAACCTACTAGCACTATAACGTTGGGAGAGACACTATTGACAAATGGGCAGTGGTTATACCAAGGACATCCACCCTGTATATCCCCATAATCACAGATGGCTGCCGAGAGATATTCGGTGCACCGGGGCGGCCTGTTGCAAGTGTACTATGACACTCCCTTGTGATACATACCCCACTGTCGCCTATCGTGCCTTTCGTGCACGGGGAAAGGCACGAAAGCCTCTTTTCACAGTGCATCCTCTAAAACCATAGCACAAGCTGCCCTTTATATCCTAGCACAAATTATCTTCCAACGGATATAACATGACGAGTCACCCTTTAATTGAGGATGTCACGGAGGAAGAGTTCGCTCTTCCATAGTCAGCCCCAAAACGATCATTGATGCAACATATGTGGCCGTACTTAAGTTGAGCTTACTTAGAAAAGTTCTGCTTTTTTAAGGTCTTGAAGGTTTGGGCTCATCCTTCCTACATAAAAAACTAACCATGCTTGAAAATGAAAGTCTGAGGGCATATCAAGAAAAACTGTGACTGAGGGGCTCCGGGAGAGTAGCCAATTATTGCAGCATTAAAACGTGAATCCGACCCATCGACATTAAAGAAGGTCACAACAGCATCTAACATAGCCGTCACGGTTATCGGCTCACGCCTGTAAGTAGAGAGCCTACCACCGTACACTGCTTCTCCTACTACACCTATTCACGCCCACACTCCTTCCTTTTCCCTCGGTTCAATCCGAGTTGGCCATCTGTCAGTTTATCCGGGAGCTCTGCCCGGACGTCTCCTGACTACTCTATTCGTGAGGAGGGCTCCAAGACCTGGACTCAAGTGAAGACAACGCGGCAAGTCAACATGTGCATACAATACACATGTTAAAGGAACTTATTTATCAATCAATGTGGCAGAAAACTCAAAATTCAAAGGATAGTTAGTTGAAATTTGGCTTACTGATCATAAAATGTTTTTCATCTGAGGAACAAATAGAATAATGCTTAAGTCAATGTTCTCTTAACCCAAATTAATTTGAGCATCACAACGTGGAAAATTGTAATCGGGTCACTATTTCCAACCGTTATGCTTCTTTCACTATTTTTGGTCATCGGTTGGCGAGGTTACCTTCAGCTTGAGTCTTCTTTTTTGAAGTTCCAGTGTCAGTGCACCACGCCGAACTCTGATTAACTCCAACAGTAAGTGCAGCAAATGTCTTTGGCACATTATGGGAGGAAAAATTGATTAAACCAGTTAAAACATTCTAAAGCAATATGTCCCTGCTTGTTACATATTTGATAGGAAACAACTTCGACAGTTCCTTTCACATTCTAAACCAGTCAATGTCCCTGCTTGTTTTGTCGCTTTTGAACTTACAAATGCTGAAAATCAACGCGAGAATCTTCCAATCTTGGACCATTGTGAGGAAACCCCCTCCCTTTGCAAAGAAAAATGTTTTTTGTTGGACTAATGGAATTGTTTTCCTTTCTTGACTCTTAAAAATTACTTCTTTGAAAAAATAAACTTGTCCCTTCTAGAATTGCAAGGGAAATTTTATTTGTTGGTCGACTCTCAAAACTTTGCAGTTGCAAAGTCAAGTCAGAAAAGGTTGGCATAGGAGCTTCAACATGGAGGTCGTGAATGAACCATATTGATCACCTAGGCCATTTAAAACAAAGAGACCTTCTTTGTTCTTAAGGGGACATCCAATAGCAGTTAACTCAATAAATTTTTTATTGAAAAAAACCAAGATATTAATGAAGAGATGAAATATTATGTCTATGACATTTTTGGATTTGTAGAAATATTGAAACTTCATGTTCCTCAAAAACCTTGGCAAAAATGTTATATAATGCTAACCGCACCTCGATAGATGTCTTCAAGTACTTGAGCGAGAACTTCTTCAAAGAGCATCGCAGTGATCCATCCTAGCAAAATGCGATTTGACCTTCTCCATTCCAAGAACTTTAGAA